AGACAGGAAGACAAGCTTCTGATGTGAGAGCCAATGACGGGGCGTGTATTTATCAGGTCAGAGCAGGGTTTGTTTCATTGGAGAATCTTAACGTGGTTTTTTCTATCACACAGGTAGAGCCTTATTATCCCAGAGCACCAAAACGTGTGCGGAACTAAATCAGAGGCTGAGCTGTAAGCAGAGACGGGCCGACCGAGATGCAGGCTGCAGAGTTTGAGCCAAGGCCTGTGGGGGCAGGTTTGTGAGGAACATATGGGAGTGATTTGGTGTTGCAGACTGGCCGGCTCTGTTTGAAGGTCTGTCAGCAAGCTCTGAAGTCAGACAGCTTGAGTCATGGCGAGCTGAAACAAAGGCAGCGATGAGCCTTTTAACACATGCAGACATGCACGCACACGTCTAGAAAAACTCAAAGATGTGAAACTGCTCCAGGATGAAACTCTAACCTAAACCTGAGAATAAAATAAAAACCAGCCTGCATGATACAGAAGTGACAAGCACTTTGACTTGTATCATCTAGTTTATGAGATGTGCATTCAACAGCTGTCTGTTTGTTATTCCTGCAGCTAGCTTTCATCAACAATCCAAGTCCTGGAGGTGGCGTTACGTCCCTCTCCTCATCGACGTTTCTAACAAGATGCCTGAACTAAAGGCGTAGATTTTCACTAGTCGCACAATTCGATTAAGATTATCGGGTGAACAATTCGATTTTATCCAATATCTCGATGCATCACCATTATTTCGTATTTGGGATTTGTTTTCATCGATAAATGGAAGATGTCAGATATTTATTTTAGTTTAAATCAAAAACATGTCAGACAACGCACGCCATCCCTCAAAAGCTCTTTAGTCACAACAGTCCTTAAGACAATGAATCAAATTCTTTTTAATACAAAAAAAAAATTCATAAAACGTTTTAAAAATCCTAAACTGCACGACCCAACCTGCTCAGTTAACATAAACCTTCAGGTTTGCTCAGTTCAGGTCCGGCCTCAGGTTAGAACTCCAGCGCTCAGCCCAGCAACACCACATACACACACCAATATCAGATCAGTTCCTGCAGTGAACCCTATCCCTGGTGTAATGACAGCCTTCACAGCCTGAAGCGCCAATGCAGAATAATTGAGCGTTTGTGGAAGAAAACCCATCTCCATGTCCATCTGCTGCACCTAAAGGATCTTCTGACATCCTTTAACTCTGCAGTCGGAGATGCTAGGGTTTCCTATTTCTCCAACCTGGTGTCCCAGAGCAAACGGAACCCCAAGGTGCTGTTTAACACCATCAGCAGCATCGTCTCTCCTGCCACTCCTACAGCCTCCATCCACTCTGTTGCAGACTGTGAGAACTTTGTCTTTCTTTGTGGACAAAGTCAATAAGGTTAGATCTAGCATCTCTCCTTCAGCCTTATCGCCGCCTCTCCCGACTCCAACCAGGCCCATCATCCTAGATAGCTTTGCTCCTGTTTCTTTGCCTGAGTTAACCAAACTAGGTAACTCTATGAAGACCTCTGCATGCCCCCTCGACATCTTACCCTCATCTTTGTTTAAAAGTGCTTTTCAGTCCATCGGTCCCAGCGTGCTCTCTATAATTAATGCTTCTCTGGTTTCTGGTCAGGTCCCTGCTTACTTTAAGAACTCTGTAATCCACCCGCTTCTTAAAAAACCGAGTCTTGACGCCTCTCTCCATAGCAGCTTCAGACCCAACTCTAAACTTCCGTTCATCTCCAGGATATTGGAAAAGGTTGTGGCTAAACAACTCACAGCTGCTCTTGATGAACATAACATCTATGATAGCTTCCAGTCAGGTTTTCGTAGAACTCATTCTACTGAAACAGCTCTTCTTAGGGTCTCTAACGACCTTCTGACTCACAGTGATGTAGGGGACTGTTCTGTTCTGGTCCTGCTGGACCTGACTGCAGCCTTTGACACTGTTGACCATCACCTGCTACTGGAGAGGCTGAGAGACTGGGTAGGCCTATCAGGATCTGCTCTGGAGTGGTTCTCCTCTTATCTCTCTGAGCGCTCCTTTTCTGTGGCCGTCTCCAAGTTTAGGTTCGTCGTTCTCAGTTCTCTTCCATTCCTCATTAAAACCACAGTTTAACGTTTGATTCATCCTTTGACTCCTCTGGAGAACCACTTTTGTTTTCTGCCACTAGCTGAACAGCAGGAATGTAAAGCTACATTGCTAATAGGAAGCTTAAGTCACGCCCATCTACTTCCAGACCATGGATCCCTGGAAGAACAAAAAAATGAATGCAAGTCAATTTCAGGGTCCACATTTTTTAAAGTCTATGGTTAACAGGATATTTTAAGGTTTTAGCTCCATGGAGATCTGGAGCTCGAACAGGGAGAGATCGTCGTTCATAAACCCATTCTCACAAACGCCAGAATGAGCGTGCTCACTTTAACGTTTGTCATGCAAAATACGAGCGAGTGAGACTCAAGTGCCTTTACACCCAAGGTCCCTAACCGGATGGTCCTCTTGCAAAGTTTACAGCGAGCTTCGTATCGATTGTGGGAGACAGCCAGCTCTCATTGAACTCGCACTTTCCTGTGTTTTCAGTGGCAAGCAGTCAACTTAACTCATCAGATTTTAGCTAGCAGCAAACAAGCTGCAAACTCTCTGTGCTCTATGTAGCCTGCAGTTATCGCGAGACTCGTAACGTATTCACAAGTACCAACATGGCCCCTCAGAAAAAGGCAGACAGTAGATAACAAAGTTTTACTATTTATCATGGCGAATGCTTCCTGGGACTAAACAACTTAAAAATTAAGACTTGACCTCATAAAATTTAAGACGTCTGGAAGAAAATCTGGGAATTTTTAAGACTTTTTAATAGAGCTGTGGCGACGCATCGATGATGTCGACGGCTCGATTCTAAAAATTCGTCGACGTCAGATCCGGTAGTCGACGCACCACGCCCACTTGTTGCATCCCCAGGAGTTTGTAAATAGAGGAGGAATCTGCCTGTTTTTCCTCTAGTTCGCCCTCTTCTCCGCCTTCACTAACATCTCCACCAAATACCGAAGACCCGGAACAATGTCCGTCCGCTACTAGATTCCTTTCCTGTTTTGCCCGCCTTCGTCTCCCGGCAACGGACAACAACTTCAGGGGTCAAATGCGCTGCTTCGTCTCTACCGCAGATGTAGAAAATCACCGGGAGAGTTTCTCCCTTCATAAAGGAGCTTCTTTCAGACATTAGGAGAGCTGTTTTGGTGGTAGCGGTCTCTCCTCCATGCTGGTCTGTTTGCTGCTGGGTGTTTTTGGTTTATTTAAACTTGGTAACTTGAACTTAATGTTGGTAAAGCTACTGTTACAGCTTCTTGCGTTTGGATAAGCTGTTACATTTTGGTTTAGAGTTGATCTTTTTTGTGGTGTAGTTCTCCCTTTTATTACATTTAGAGTGTTGTGGGTTTTCGGTTTAGTTTAAAATATCACCTTGAGTTTGGTTTAACCACCCAGTTTAGAGTTTGGACCTTTGGAGATGCTTTTTTTGGTCCAGAACCCTTTAATCGTTGCCCAGTGAGACATCCCTACTTATTTGTACTTTTGTTTTAATTCCCCACAGGCAGAATTAGTTTTATTATTCCCAACCTGTGGATGGAAAGATTTGTTTTTTTTTGTTTTGTTTATTGTAGTTGTAAATAAGCCTGATTCATCATTTTAACTTTTAAATCCCGTTATTGTCCCTTCCTTTTTGCACACGAGCCAAACTCCCCAGGAAGAGTCGTAAGACCACTCGCCTCACACACATAAGTGACCAAAACAAAGCAGCATGGAGACACTACATCTCCAGCCACCTCTCAGGCAGCAGCCTGCACTCCCACGTTCTACACGTCACCAGAACATAAACAACCGCAACACACTAAAAGCAGTGTTATACAAAATGGAAGGCTGTAATGTTTATTCTCTTACAGTAACAATTTATCCATTTTTTGGAGGAATTTATTAGAGATTTTTTTGTTGTTATTAATTGTGCATTAGAAAAATAATCGCTAGATTCATCATCTAAATAGTCATTAGAATAGTTGACTATTCGATAAAATAATCGTCAGAATAATCGTTTTAAAAATAATCATTTACCCCCAGCCCTACTTTTTAAGGTCCTAAATTTATGAATATTTAGATCTTTTTATACTTTTAAATGAGCCCGCGGGAACACCTTGAGTAAATAAAAAAGGGTAAGGCAGGCCTGCCAGCGCTTTATAAGCCTGGCAGGCCGCCAGGCCTTGCTAGGTCCCCAGCCAGGCCAAGCATCCACCCCCGACCCCACACGCCCTGCAGTCGCAGACGACGCACAGTAGTGGAATGAGCCACGCACCCCATAATCATTTATTAGCCCAGCTAAACAGACAAAACATGCTGCCTAAAACCTGTTCTGACTGGTTCAACGGTGTGTCTGTCGTGCGGACAGAAGCAGACTAGCAAATGGAGTTACTCGGCTGAGAGAAAAAGAAAACTGTGTGCCTGTAGACGCGTCCAGAAATAACGGCACAGGCAGGCGATGGAATGCAAACAGATGGTTGTACAATCTCCAAACTTTGGTTGATCGTCATCACATTATAATCCTTAACAATCTTATATCCTCAGACTGCACGACCCTAAGCTGAAGCAGATTTCAGACCAACAATCAAGACCCCACATCGAGGGAGGACCTCACCTTTTCCACACATTCCTGACCTTTGGCTCAAACACACTTTTTCTCCACAGAAACACACGATCAGATGGAGAATATGCCTTCAGGCTGGCTGTAATCAGTGCTCTTCCTGCTCTCCTGCACTGCAGTTATTAATCAAACCAGACGACAGCTCCAATGACACAATCGGACTCTGTAATTGAAAGACCAGGAGGCCTCCTGATTGGCAGACTCTGCCTCTAGCTTTGGGGTCAAAGGTTAATCTCCTCAAAGAGCAAAGGGGAGGGGACAAGGTCATCCAGAAGAAATCACTGGTACCCACCCCAAAACAAACATCCGGAACGCAGAGCAGAAAGTGTTTGTATACCTGTTAGGAGACTCCACGGTAGAACCAAAAGTGTGTTGGTGCACGGCTCCATGGGAAACGTAGTCTGGAAGCAGACGGCCTGGAACACAAGTAGGAAGGAGTTGGTTGTCTTTGTGGTTTGTTTCAAACAGTCCCAGTCCTGATCCAGCCCACCTGGTGCTGCCACTGCCGGCTATCTCACACATCCCATAATCGTGCACAATTTTCATTTGTGTAGTAAGCTTCTAAAGGACAAAAATAATAAAGGCCAGACCGCCGACAAACCCTAGTATGCGCCTCCTTCTGGCCCACAGTTGGGAACTCTGAATGTGTTGTTTGTGAGATAAGTGGGTCAGCGTGGCCAACAGCTGGAGCAGCCTCCTCCGCACAGAGCCCTCTGTATTAAAGCTCAGCAAAGAAAGCTTTATTTAGTCAAGGCAGCCGATGTCAGGACAGTGAGTTAATGTTCACTCGCAGCTCCAGCCAACAGCTTAGACAGATACAGCAGGAAGTTGCTCTTACTGGAGTCTAACTTCAAAATAAGAGTCCCTTTTAGACAGCAGAAACATAGACAAAGTTGCTAAAAGCTAACAAGCTAGGTCAGCAGCTCAGTTTACATTTCATATGGTAAAACTCTGTTTAACAGAAACAATAAGCATCCCTCAAAGAGGAGACCTCCAGCAAGCCTGAGAAACCAATAAAGAACTCGGACATAGATCAGAAATGTGGCTGCTTGGGTGAAAAAAAAAGAGACTGAGAAATATTCAGGTAAAAGAGACATCTTTCATCTGTACTAAGGCTTAGGTTTTAAATCTTCAAATGATCTAACAGACTTCACATTTTCATCTAAGGCATGTCATTTTAAATATTTAAGGTTGTATGATAGATAAAAAGTAAAATGTTTACGTTGAGGCTCTGAAAACATCGTCTCTCCTGGATTAACACCGAGCTGGGGCTGAAGTCACATCAGCTGGAAGAGGCCCCGATTTCACGTGGAAAATCGAGCTCACCAGCAGCTCTACTGAGTGTGTGTGTGTGTGTGTGTACTTGCCTTGGTCCCAACGATGCTAAACACCCTAAAAGTTGGTTTTAGAGGTATGGTGTGAATTAACCTTTAGTTTAGGTTAGGAAAAGAACCCCATTGCTTATGGTTAGGGTATGGGTTAGACATAGTGGAGTCACTAAAATTAATGGAGGTCAACACAAACATATAACTACAAGTGTGTGTGTGTGTGTGTGTGTGTGTGTGTGTGTGTGTGTGTGTGTGTGTGTGTGCGTGCGTGCGTGTGCGTGCGTGCGTGCATGCGTGTGTGTGTATGTGCGTACGTGCGTGTGTGTTTGTGCGGTTGTGTGTGTGTGTGTGTGTGTGTGTGTGTGTGTGCGTGCGTGCATGCATGTGTGTGTGTGTATGTGCGTACGTGTGTGTGTGTTTGTGCGGTTGTGTGTGTGTGTGTGTGTGTGTGTGTGTGTGTGTGTGTGTGTGTGTGTGTGTGTGTGTGTGTGTGCGTGTTCAGCTCCACCCCAGGACGGGGGAAAAAGGCAGAAAGAACTCCGGCAGCGTTGGATTCAGCCTCTGTATTAATATAGAACAGGTGATGAGAAAATAGCGGTCTGAAGACGGGGACTGAGAGCGGTCATGGGGTTGGTAGAAACAGCCGTTGGTATAACACACAAGCTGGAACACACACAGAAACAAACACATAACGTTTATAGACCGTGACGCAACGCCAAGAAAAAGAGACGAGCGGGGGAAACAGATCCTGCCCTCAAACACATCCAACTATTTTTACATGAACTACACCGAGCACCAACAGCTGAGCAGAAACTGCAGGAAGCCTTCCTTAGGCCTGAACAGTTTTAGGAAAATACTTGATCGGGAATTTTCTGCCAGACATCGTCATTTAATTAGTTTTAAGGATTTTCTTCAAACCAAGCTTAAGAACATGACAACATACAGTAACATTTAGAAACACGACAGGAAATGACATTGTGGTAGGGCTGCCCCATTATGGCAAAAATGATAATCACGATTATTGTGACTGAAATTGAGATCTCGATTATTTAAGACGATTTTTTAATGAATGTTGATTTTATTTGTTTGTTTATTTATTCAGTCATAAAATTGCTCAGGGCACAATCACGGCAAAAAGAAAAAAGAAAAAGAAAGCAACAAGATAATCAAAAAGCAACCCCTGATTACTAGTATAAAAAGCCCACCACACTTGCTCATAGTTTATGACCCAAAGAGCTGAGGGTTAACTCATTTAAGCCTAACCAATACAGACCCAAATATCCAACCAATATCTTGCAAATACTGAATTATACAGTGGCATTCATAACAAATAAAAAATATATAAACTAGGGCTGCAACAAACGATTATTTGGATAATCGATTAATCGGATGGGGTCTCGACACGATTAATCGATTAATCGGATTACATGGGGAAATTTTTAAAAACTGCTAGGGAAACGTTATTTCTCTCCTTCCTTCACTTTATTTAACACAACATTATTAGAAAACACTTCAATAGCAGAAAAACAACATGCCATCACCTAAATTGTCTTATAAGGTGTATAGACAGAGACCCTAAGCTACATCTATCTGTGACCTAAAATGCTTGGTCCAAGTTAAACAGCTTAAGGGCAATTCTCATCTGTTTTGTTTGATCTCATCTGTTAACATTTATTTTAAATGTAATTAAACATAGGCTGTGAATCAATCAAAATTGATCACTATTTCCAAAACTGACTGAAAAATACCAAATAAAACAAAAGTAAATGAATGCCATCCTCCTTGCGATGATGCCCTGGGCAACTGCCATAAAGTCACATCAAGAAATGCTGCTGATCATTCCAATGATCCCAAATAGACTCACATTAGGCCACATGAAAGCAACTGAACCCAAAAATATATTAACCAGTATATAACTGCACTCTCACACAACACGCCTGCAGCAACAGTTAGGACTCCTCCCTCCCTTTTAAAAGCGTTTTTGCTTCTGAGGACATTGTGGTTGTAAAACCACATGCTAGTAGTCTGGCCCCGGTGTGATCAACCAGTTTCTGCGGGAATGTGACGGCGGAACCAGGGCCAGATTAACACTTTGTTGTACCCTGGGCAACAATATTCAAGGGCTCCATCATCACGACCCAAGGATCACCATAATGTGGTCACATACAGAATATTTTACTGTGATATGCAGTAAATATACTCAATACTTGAATGCCTGACAACACGTAACCCGCCCAGAGTAACCTTTGACCCACCTCGTGTGGACTGACCAATGAGGAGAGGGTCTTAACTTGAAGCCCTCTCTTCATTGGTCAGTCTGCATGAGACTGACTCTCAACTGACATTCAGTCGTAGGCAGCGAAGCGTCTCTGTGCAGCGCAAAAGCCCGGGTGGACAGTTTGTTTAATGTAGGGTGACCATATTTCCATTTCCAAACAAGAGGACAGGGGATCTGTGCCTATGACGTCACACTATGGCAACGCCACACAAACCATGTTGGGACCCATTTTTTGTAAGAACTAAATTAATATCAGCTTCTGCCAATTAAAGGGCTCTAAAACAATTCATATGTAAATATTTTGCATATTTAATGCAAAATCTAATTTTTCTGCTTTAGTGCTGCAACAAGGTTTTATTAATAATAAATTATTATACCTTTTGTTTTACTACAGCATCGGTAAGCTTCCTGTGCACAGATGATTAAGGATGCTTGTTTCAGCTGTGAGATTAGACGATAGGATCAATGAAAAAATAAGTTGTCACACACTCCATGGAAACTTTCAGAGAATCCACAAATAGTGGCTTTCAAATGGTTTTGTTACTTTTAGCAGGTTTAGAAAAGCAGCAGATGAGACAGCATGTCTGATAATTTAGTTTTTCATCTGATAATATTAGAACATGTCAGTAATGTCTGAGGGGCTTTTATAAACACCATATAACTAACACTACTGGAGAGGGCATGAATTACACAGAGGCTTCTGGGGAGCCCAGTTATGGGGGGGGGGGGGGGGTGGGGGGGGGGGCATTTTGCCTTGGCCCCCAAAATGTCTTGAAACGGCCCTGGGTGTGTGACTGAGTTTTGAAGGTGATCTGAATTGTATCAGATGTATAAATATGACATGTGTATAACTTATTGTTTTTTACTGGTAAAAACGTGTCGTGGAGATAAATCTACCTACATTTGACTTTTCAACACTTTGTTTTGTTTTCTTGTTTTTATTTAACTATTTTCCTGTCCTGTCTGTCTCTCATCTTCCTGCATCTCCTCATAATTCTCCAGAAAATCTGTTGCCTGGATTCTTACCTTTTCACCTCATCAGTTACTTTTGAGCAGATCAAAGGGATCTCCTGACCGAAAAGCGCAGAGCGCGTTTTCGATGCTGCGTGAGGTGACATCACCACAGCAGAGGTGATGAGCTCCACAGTAGCGAGCTTCAGGCACAAATAAGACAGAAAATAGAGAATATGTGCGGACATGAACGATCGTGTGCTAATTATAGTTTTTTGGTTGCGCCACTTTGAGAATGGACCGTGCGCTGGAAGCAGCTGCCTGGATCGCTGCGCGACAATGCGGAACCGGTTCGCAGCAGCGCAAGTCTGCCGGCTCTCCATCGCGCTGATCTGCCGGTACCGGCTCTCCCTCACGCTGATCTGCGGCTCTCCCTCACGCTGATCTGCGGCTCTCCCTCGCGCTGATCTGCGGCTCTCCCTCGCGCTGATCTGCCGGTACCGGCTCTCCCTTGCGCTGATCTGCGGCTCTCCCTCGCGCTGATCTGCCGGCTCTCCCTCGCGCTGATCTGCGGCTCTCCCTCGCGCTGATCTGCCGGCTCTCCCTCGCGCTGATCTGACTTGCTCTGGTCTGCGCGCAACGGCGGGCAGGAAGGGGGGGGGGGGGGGCGCTTTTGGAAGAGTTGTGCGACACAACGAATCGATGACGCAATTCGTTGCCAACGCTTTTAGTAATCGATTTTCATCGAATTTATCGATTCGTTGTTGCAGCCCTAATATAAACATATGTGTTTTAGTGACGGTCACAAAATGTTGCATAATATCTATTTAGTCCTGTCAAGCGGTGCTGTATGTCTGTA